GTGTGTGGGTGGTGTGGATGTGGGTGTGTGGCTGTGAGGGGTGTGTGGATGTAGGTGTTCGTACGAATCATAATAACACCCGCACCCACATACACCCACACCAACGCTCGCTCACACTCACACCCACACCCTTTTTTGCTAAGATTTTCATCTGATGCAGCTGTAAATCCTGATATGAAGATTTCGCCCAGATCTTGACGAAAATCTGATAAAAATCTTTTATGCTAATCCTTTCAAGATCCTTGATAAGATCGGAAATGAATTTTGACAGGATTCTACATTATCAATTTAGAAAAAAATCTGAGCAGGAACCTGAAGAAATCCTAAACAAGATTCTGTTTAACCATGAGAAATCGTGCAAACAGGAATTGCTAGGATTCGAGACAGAATCCTGCATAAAACTTGATAGGATTCTTGAGATTCAGGATTCTGAAAGATCTTTTCAGGATTTCTTAAGGAATGAACAGAATTGAGACTAGAGCAGTGTACTTTCGATTGCATAAGCAGATTTATTTTTTTTACTTTTTAAAGTCGAACCTTCCTCATGAGAGGATGATCGATGGCTAGCTATGCCGATATCCAAACACTTTTAAAAAGTTCATATATGTAAAACTTGAAACTTGAATTCAATTCAACTTTCAACTTTCAACTTTCAACTTTCAATGAAAATATAAACATTTTGGAGATATTGATTCACTAGTGCAGATAATCTTTATATAGTGATTGACTTTGAATGCTGATCCATTCAGATATATATTCATTCAACTTATCAACCCTTGTTCGACAAAATTCAAAAAATAAATAACTGTTTACTATGTCTCCTACATGTCTGGAAAGGACTAGCTGCAAAAGGGCTGATTGCGACGGGACTGATGGAGAAATGAGTGGCCACACTACGACATACATCACGTCGCAGCTGCTGTGGGTGCCGCGAAAGGACTGGCTACGCTACGACATACATTACGTCGCAGCTGCTGTGGGTGCCACAAACGGACGGCCCACACTACGACATACATCACATCGCAGTTAGTGTGGGTACCGCGAAAGGACTGGCCACACTACGACATACATCACATCGCAGCTGGTGTGGGTGCCGCGAAAGGACTGGCCACACTACGACATACATCACGTCGCAGCTGCAGTGGGTGCCGCGAAAGGACTGGCCACTAGAGACCTGCACGGAGTCAGTTTCGGAGTCGTGGTCGGAGTCGAATAAAACTGTAACGAATAATTCATTTTAAACATTAAACTTTTTTTGAGTTGTAGGTTTTGTTCTCTGATCTTTTCTCTAGAAACTAATGTATTTTCAAGATCCGATTGACATCTTATCGAGGCCTACGAATCCAAAAGAAAGTCGGAGTCAACCTTGACTCCGATTTTTCTTGACTCCGACTTTCTTTTGGATTCGTAGGCTTCGATAAGATGTCAATTGGATCTTGAAAATATATCAGTTTGTAGAGAAAAGATCAGAGAGCAAAACCTACAACTCCAAAAAAGTTTAATGTTAAAAATGAATTATTCGCAACAGTTTTATTCGACTCCGACCACGACTCCGAAACTGACTCCGTGCAGGTCTCTACTGGCCACTCATTTCTCCATCAGTCCCGTCGCAATCAGTCCTTTTGCAGCTAGTCCTTTCCAGACATGTAGGAGACATAGTAAACAGTTATTTATTTTTTGAATTTTGTCGAGCAAGGGTTGATAAGTTGAATGAATATATATCTGAATGGATCAGCATTCAAAGTCAATCACTATATAAAGATTATCTGCACTAGTGAATCAATATCTCCAAAATGTTTATATTTTCATTGAAAGTTGAAAGTTGAAAGTTGAAAATTGAAAACTCACTTGGAACTTGAAACTTGAAAACTCACTTGAAACTTGAAACTTGAAAACTCA